GGAGCTGTGGTTTCTGTACTGCCGCAAGGATTCGGGCGACGAGATCTATACACGTCGGTTGCCCCTGGCCAGGCCCACCCTGGGCCCACACCTGCTTGGAAAAGTAATGCAGCCATTTTACAATGTCTTGTCCCCCCCAGGCCCCCGATCTTTGTGTTGAGTCAGCCGTGGCCGCCAGCGGAAAGAAGCAGATGGCGCGGCGCCCCGAGCGAACACTGACATTGAGGGGCGCGGGGGAACGGACCGCGCGCGAGAGTGGCACGACTTTTCCAGGGTCGTGCAGCAGTGGGCTGGCCTGGCCCGGGGCGGGGGACGTGCATACAGTCGGCCCGGATTAGTAGGTCGACCCTGCCAGCTCAAGGGTACCCTTGTGTCCTGTGCCTCGCGACACGTGCCTTCTTACACGCCTATGGCGATGTGGCTCTCGGAAGGGTCTTGTGTCCTCTCGCGTGTCCTGTCCAATCAAGGCCGACTGCAAGCTGCGCGCGTGAGGTCGCGCGTAAGCGCCCTCGTCTCCGGCCCGGCGTGCCGCGCTGGCGGCCCGCGCGAGCTGCGGCGTCGGGTCGCCACGTCGTCTCGCGCAAGACCCGTTGTTGGTCGTCGCCCAACTGCCACTGGGTCTATGAGGCTCCAACGGGGCCCTGTCCAATCAAGGCCGGCTGTAGACCTCGCCGCTCGAAGGACGACAAGCTCGCCGCGGCAGTGTCCACGCTGCGCCGCATGCACCAGGCGAGCTGCCGGCCGTCTCTCCGCGCCCCGGGCACGCCTGCTCGCCGGCACGGCGCCCGCCGCCCGACCCTGGCTGCTCCCGCCCGTGCTGGCGCTGGCTGCAGGGGACGGTGCGGCGCTGTGGGGCAGGGGGCCGTCGTCCCCGCTGGACGCACCTCGAGCTCTCTCCCCAGGTAGGCTTTGCGTCAAGGGACTCGTACTTGTCTCGTGAACACACATATATATATGTATGTATGTTTGTGCATCTATATATGTATATTGCACGGCATAGATCGGACAACACATATGGCGCCACATCGTTTGCTCCACATCTAGTGTGCAGGTCTTGTTGCTTGAGAGATATTGCTTGGAGTTCACGGTTGCTAACGCATATGCGCCTTATGCCTGATTCGGAAAGTCGGGGTGCAGGGTGACCGGGAAAGATTAGGGGCAACGTAAGAAGTGGATACAGTCAGGGGGGATGCATCGGCCCCCAATCGCGCATGCAGCGCCGTCGAGGTCCCGCTGATCCGCCCCGCCCAGGAACCTGCGGAGTCGCTCTCTGGGGCCCGTCGCCGTTTTCTCGGCGGTGTATCGCCGCTTCCGCCTCGATGTCCCCCCCCCCCCTCCGTTCAGCAGGTGCCCCCCTGACGTTGCCCCCCCAAGGGGGGGCGGCAGGGGCCGCTTGAGGGGCCCGGCCGCCCGGCGCCCAGAACGGGAAGTCGACCATCATGTTCGTCGCGACCCGCCACCACGTGGAGTTCTTCGGCGAGCTGCTGCAGCGGGTGGGCCTCAGCGTCGCGGTGGTCTACGGCGCGATGGACCAGTTCGCGCGCGAGGACCTCGCTCCTCGCCGGAGGGCTGCCGCTGCACCGCGGGAGTTCCAGGGAGCTGGTGGAGAAGGGAGGCCGTGGAGGAGGGCCGAGGATAATAAGATGGACGAGGAAGGTCTCCTCATCCCTCCTCCTCCTTCCTCCTCCTCCTTTCCTCCTCCTCCTTTCTCCTCTTCTTCTCCTCCCAGAGCCTCCTCCTCTTCTTCTTCCTCTTCCTCTCCCTCTCCCTCTCCCTCTCCTCTCCCTCTCCCTCACCCTCTTTCTCCTCCTCTTCCTCTTTCTCTCCCTCTCCCTCTCCCTCTCCCTCTTTCTCCTCCTGTTCCTCTTCCTCCTCAGTTTTTCTCTTTTTTTACTCCTCCTCGCCTCAGGGCTTGGGAGGTATATCGTGTTGCCGGGCCCTGGTGGGGGAACTGTGCGAAATTCCTGGGATGTCGCGTGCGTCTGGCGAGCCCAGCACGTCTGGCGACCGAGCGAAGGCATCGAGACTCCGTCTCCGCATGACATCGCCATAGGGTCGCTTTTCCGCCTCAGAAGTAAGAGGAAACTGCAGGAGGAGGAGGAGGAGGGGGAGAAGGAGGAGGAGGAGGAGGAGGAGGAGGAGGAGAAGGAGAAGGAGGAAGGCCGCGGGGGAGGGCCGAGGAAGATAAAATGAACGAGGAAGGTCGAGGATGAGGAAGAGCGAAGAAGAGGAGTAGGAGAGGAGTAGGAGTAGGAATAGGAGTAGGAGTAGGGGCAGGAGCAGGAGCAGGGCGAGTAGGAGCAGCAGCAGCAGCAGCAGCACGTGTAGTAGTAGTAGTAGTAGTAGTAGTAGTAGTAGTAGTAGTAGTAGTAGTAGTAGTAGTAGTAGTCGTAGTAGTAGTAGTAGTAGTAGTAGTAGTAGTAGTCGTCGTCGTATCCGTATGTTCAGTAGTAGTCGTAGTAGTAGTAGTAGTAGTAGTAGTAGTAGTAGTAGTAGTAGT